CAAGCATCGTTCTTTTCTTCTCTCTCTCTCTCTCTCTCTCTCTCTCTCTCTTTCTCTCTCCTGCGGTTTCGTGGCGTCTCTTCTTTGAAAGCTAGGAAACATCGGTATCGGTGTGGTGGTGGTCGTCGTCGTAGTCGTCGTCGCGATGGCAGGATGGCAAAGGGTGAGCCGGCATGGCCGACGGGGAACTGCGTAAAAACGGCGTGAAACCTTGGAAATTCGTTCTGTTCCTCTTCGGTTTATACGATCGAAATACTCGATACGAGAATTACGAACAGAGAGGGGGTTGAACGATATCGAAGGAAAGAGAATTTTTCGATTAAACGAGTCGAAGTTAGGGGAAAGATTTCACGAGATGATCGCGAATTGGACAGACGTTTCAACGTTCGTTCCATCCGTGCCCATTTCCGAGGATCTCTTTTTCGCGAATGTTTCCTTTTTCTTCTTCGTTTCCTTCCCCCTCCTTTTATTCTTCTCTTTTCTCACGTTCGTTTCTTCACGAATTTAATGAACCGACGCACTTGTCAGAACTGTCCGCCGCGACGTCGGACCGGGATAATGATTTTTTCCATCCTGTGGCTGTGCACGGCCTCGGGTTTCGTGGTAAATCGCGCGTATCTCTTCGCGTCCTCCGCTCCTTTTCGGAGGAGGGTCCCCTTGGTTAGGTTGCTTCATCCGGAAAGGAGGGGACCGGTGATTACACCGCGCCACCGTGATTGCCGAGATCGTTTGACTCACGAAAATGTCATTAGGATTTCATTACTTCCAACCGCCTTGAGGAACGACCGTTTCTCGGCGACTCGAGTTTGTGCAACGTTGTTTCTTTCCCCTTAATTCCCTCTCTCTCCTTCGTCGTTTCCTTTTCTCTCCTCTCCCGTCCACTCTGTTCGTCCCTCTCGGCTCTGTCCTCTTTTCTCCCCGCCTCTCCCTTCTCGCTCTTGCCGCCGTTTCGTTTCGCCCGACGAGATCCAGCTTCCAGATCACGAAGTGGGTCAGCCGCCTCGGTTGGCCAACTGTCGCCAAGGAATCGACCGATCTAACGTCATCCACCAGATTGACATTTACCATGGAGACGGAGTTCATCCTCGCGGCGAGTGATCCATCCATCCATCCTCCTCGTTTCCCCGCCATTTTCATCGATCGCTATCCTGACATTTAACGAAGCGAACGGAAATTGTCCCCGCGCCGTTCCACGATCGTTAAAATCCTATCCATTACTTCAGATCGATCGATCGCCACCCGAGATCTATCAGATTCCGCCCGCGATCGAGGGGCAAGTTCGCGAGAGACGCGAACTTTTCCATCTCCGATCGAGGAGACTCCACACGGTTTGTTTTGAGCGCGCCGATCTTTGGGGCCGCCCCTTCCACCATTTTTTCCACGAATAAAACGCAGATCGTTTCGTCCACGATCGTTCCATCGACTCGAATCACGCGCCTAATTCGCGCCGTCTCGCGATGCAAGATCGTCCGTGATTCCTCCGCGACGATTCCTCGGCGAATATATATATATATATTTTGTCGAACGTTTTCGAATTTGAGTTTCTCGACTCAACGATCGATTCCCTATCGGATCCACGAACGCGGGGAATTTGATTCTCTCTCGATAAACCGACGGACGGCCCCGAGACGCGAGGGGCCGCAAAAACCGGCCGATATGAACACGCGGCTGTCGTTAGAAGGAATGGAAAATCATTTTTCTTTTTTATTAACATCGAACGTGAATTCCATCCCGACAGGTGGTATACGTATTCGCAGTTTGGGGCGCTGCCACGTCCGCGGCGCTACGAAGAAACAGTTCCTCCTGAACACAGCTCGAAGGACATCTTCGTTAAACCGCCGGCCACACCCTGAAAAAATACGAGAGACGAACGAGCCATTAGAACCCAACCCTTCGAACGAGAATCGAGGGAAGGGAATCGAGATCGGTTTTTCCCTCCCATTTCTTCGCTTCGTTCGTACGAGGGATAACGATTTAATCGCGATATCTTTCATCTGCGTGCGGATCGTTCGAATTTTGTCTCCTCAATAACGCAAAGAAGGAATATTCATTTTCTCGAATCTTTCTTTTTAAATTTCTCTTCGCATCTAGAAAATGAATTACTCGTATCCTTGTTAATTCACGATGGAAATATCGCAAGGAACCGATAACGAAACGTTACGTTACGATGAATTTACTTAAGAATCGAACAATACCAACACCATCGATACCCTCAATCGCGATATCTTCTGGAATTCTACATTTCGAGACATCGAATGTTATCAATATAATTCTTTAACACGTTCAACTGGCGTGTACCATACGATAATCCACATTGCTTTCGTTCAACGCAAAATCGCCAGACGATCATCTCGTGCTCGCCCATCGTACGAGCATCGAAAAAGTGCGCCCGGTTGAACGTGTTAAACGTATATTTTCATCGAAAAAAAAAAAAAAAGGAAAAATCTTCGTTTATTCAAAGGAATTGGAAACGACCGAAACGATCCCATCTTCCCCATATCGTTTTCGATTGGAAACACAGGTGTCTCGATCTCAATCGTTCGCGACACTTCATCGTTTCTTTCTCGACCGAAACTGAGGCGAAATGTCACTTACGTGAGTAGTCCGGGATTAGGATCCGCTTGGTACCACGAATACTGTGGCATGTAGCCCGCGTGGTGCGGCGGCGGCGGCGGTGGCGGCGGATGATGGCCAGGCGTGTGGGGGTGGTGGTGGGTGTGCGGTGGCGCGTGCGGATGCGGATGGTGCTTCATCTCGCCCGGCCAGGAGGGTGCGGGCGGGCTCTCGTTGTGCTGAGGCGACATCTCGCTTCCGGGGCTCGAACTGCCGGGGGTGTGACCCCCCGCGCCGCCTCCCATTCCGCCGAGGTAGCCTGTCGTCGGACTGCCCGACACCGAACTTCCGCCTCCTGGAAACGGTAACGGAGAACGGGGTTCGTGATCGATCCTCTATAAGATGTAGACTTGTCTTGCACGGAGAAGGGGGAGAGGGTGGAGCGTTCCAAGTTGACAGAGGGATGATCCTGACGGAGGGTCGTGGATTGATTTAGCGTAGATTCGGAGGAAATGTTCGAGGGAGGGAGGGGAGTTGTGGACTCGTCTTTTGTAGAGGACATAGGGGGGGGGAAAGAAAAGGGAGGATTGATTCGAGTTTGAGTATTTAAGAATAACGGTGGGTGGAAGGAGGAGGTGGAATAGAGGGTTGTATCTAGAGGGTTGTGGATTTATTAAGTTTTTGTAAATCTTCGGGAATGTAAAAGTGATCGAAGGAGGATTGATTCAAGGATGTGGGTGGTTCGAGGAGGAAGTAGATGGATCGAATTTTTATTAGGAATAAGTTAGGAACAAAGAGAGAAGAAGAAAAGAGAAAAAACGAAGGAACTTCAAGGATTACTTGAAAAGCCTAGATCGGAGATTTCACAAAGTTTGTTAACGACTCATCGGAACCAGTTGTATCTCCAAGTCTAGATACGTGGATGAGCAAGGTTGTCGAGCTGTTACGTGCCAGTGGCGATTCCATCTTTAATTGATTTATATCTTCCGATCCGATATTCGTGAATTACATTCGTGCCGCGAAGATAACAGCTGCACGGAATTTTTTCCTACCTTTTTCTTCTCTTTTCTTTTTCCCCTGACCCGATTAATCCGTTTAAAACGCGCAAAAGTCGTCTCGTTAAGGCGATCCGAGCATCGATCCGAGAACCGATACGACTGAATAAAAATTTCGATCTCGTTAAAGGCACACATACAGAAACGGTGCCCGATTCGATCCTCGGCTTTGATCCTCCAGATATATGTACACGTATAAATAATAATTAAACGGTTCTCGACGTTGCGCAGATTATCCAATAACGATCGGGATAATCGCTTCTTCACCGTGATACGTGGTCCTATACGCACCTCCTTGCATGAGACTTCCGGGTTGACCAGGTTGAGGGGATGGCCCCCCTGGTAGTGCGGTTCCACCGGCCAGAAGGCTACCGTGCTGCCCTCCGCCACCACCGCCGCCCTGCTGCGCCGCCTTCATCATCTTCTTGTATTTACTTCTTCTATTCTGGAACCAGATTTTCACCTGCAACAAAAATCGAACGGATCAGGTCAGGTGAAACTCGTTTCGCGAGTTGTCGGTAGAGTATTGGCGAATGAGACCGAAACGATGGGGGGGGGAGGGGGAAGGGAGAGAGGGGAGAACGAGGAGTAAAAACGGGAGTTTGCACGGGGGAGGGGCATAGGTAGGTAGGTAAAGAGGAGAAAAAACAAAACAGGAGAGGAGAGGCTGGTACGTCGCAACCGAGGTTGATGTACTATTTAACGTGGACCGAGAGACGCTTGTGTGCCGCGTTACGCCAGAGACCGGCAATTTTCACTGTCTCTGTTTGCCGCTGTCCTTCCGCCCGTCAAACATCCGATAATTACAGAGCCCGATATGAATTTCTGCGAGTACGCACCGACCGTAATGATACACGCTTGTTCGGTTGCCATACGTATATAGATATATATATATATTTTGCGAGAGGGACAAGCACGTAATCCGCCACGGTTTTATCGGGGCACGGCGATCGGTCGTATCGAACGAAGGATAACCGTTGCGCATTTGCGATTCTCGATCGGATGCAACGTCGCTAGCTAACGTCGAATCATCGTCGCGCTACCGGGTTTCGAACCGAGTATGGAGAAGGAGGAGGAGAGGAGAAGAGGGAGGGAGGGAAAAAGAGAAGAAAGCGAGGAAGGAAAAAAAGAAAAAGAACTAGTAAGAAACTGCTCGGTTTCGTAACTATCGTTTCTTTTGCTTGGACGCGGCGCACGAGGAACGTCGTGTTCGGCTTGTGCGACGGATACCAATGCGCCGGTGCCGCTCTTACGATTGCACATGCGGTTATTTTTTTTCTTTCGTTTCTTGGCGCGATCTATACGCGTGCACGTGACGCGGTGCTCAATCTTACGTAAGCACGGACTCGGCTTGGGCGAGCGAGGAAGGCGAGAGAGGAACGTTTCGTTCGTGTTCCGCGAGTAAACGGCAAGCGTTAACCCTCGAACCAGGTTGAAAAAAACATCCAGGAAGCGGTGGATCGGGTTTTTCAACGGGTTTCCTTTAATTCGCTCCTTCTTTTGGGGAGAGTTGGTTACTTTGTATGCTAATTCCTCGCTTCGGGGGACAAAACGATGTAACGATGTCGGAACGTTGAATAATTGCATCAACCCTTGCACGATCTGGTCCGTTGCGTTATTGAATTTTTTTGCATGCATCGATAAGGTTCAACGTGTCGCAAATTACAAGCCACCGATTCACGGACCACCTATAACATGGATCAACATGGTAATATTAAATTGATAATAAGAGAATATATAAGCGAAGATGAAATTTCTTTCAAAATTTTAGGGAGAAAGTTTGTTCCAACTCGATTCAAATTTCGAATTGAATATCGTTCCGCGAGAAAATCTCGATCGACCGATTTTAAGATAATTTCCAACGCAAACAAAATGCATCTACGCTTCACCCTACGCTTCGTAGCGTAGAATTTAGGAAACTCGATACCCGTGCTTCTCCCCCCTCGTAATTGAACCGTACACCGCAATTTCCTCTGTTAAATATTAATCGAAGAAACTGTACCTTCTTTTATCAATCACCGCGGAGGAAGATCCTCCAACGTATCCTCCTTGTCAACCCTGGAACATTGCGTAACCGGCGGCCGAGCCGACCACTTCGCGGGGCTTATAGTTCGTCACGACTTTTTACGCCTTGGGCGTCAATCAAAAACCGTACGGTTACTTTAATTAACTAAGTCGGGTCCGTGAAGCAGGGAGCCGGAGGGCAGCGGTTGGACGAGAGATGGCTAGATCGAGGAGAAGAACGAGAAGAGGGGAGGGCGTCGTCACGTGAAAACGAGTTCATTAAAACCGCAGCTCGGCTTCGTGCTCTAACCTAACGAAAGAAACGCGCCACATCGTGGCATTGTTTCACGTTTTGCAACGTAAGGCGGAATCGGTCCGTTGAAACTTGCGCTCCTTCCATCAACTGCACTGTACAACTGCACACTATGTAGTACACGCGAGGCGCGTGTACAATCGAGGCTACGCGCGTGTGCACCAGCGTATACCTGGCCGCTATGTATAAAATGGCCGCCACTTTTCGCCACTTGCACGGCCGAAAAGTGCGCCAACAGAACGCGAGATTCTTCTCAGTAAGCCGCCTCTTATTGAGGGAGCGTGCGCCCGGCGTGCCGGCGTGCGAATAAATCTCTTTCTAATTGCTCGATGAAAAAGTGGAGCGTGCTTGGAGGATGGCGCCCGACAAAGGGGCCAGCGCTGAAACCTCGTCCAACAATGGTTTATTTCGTTGTCGGATCCTCAGTATTCGCTTTGTTTATTGATATTTACAACCACATCGCGACGCACGCGGTATACGAAGAAGAAAAAGAAGAAGAAGAAGAAGAAGACTTTTAGGGGCTGGGGACAACCGGGTGGTGAGATATTCGTTCGCGAGTTACTGCTACGAGTGGTCTTTTTTTGCCACGGTATCCCGTCGTCATAGTTTGTGACGCAGGTGTGGATTCCTCCGTTTCGAAGGGGATGACCGGGTTCTTGCAGGCAAACTCTTGCAGGCCGAACGAGAACAAACGAGTTCTGGGACGATCTTTTCTACGAGTAAATGAAGCACTAGCGCTATGCTCTCGTATGCTCTGTTCAAGAGAGAGAGAGACCACTTTCCGACATCGATTATCGTAATCAGGCTAGCCACACGGATGCGGCGGGACATCCGGACGGCAGCAAGAATTTTCTGACAAAAAACGCGTTGGGCCGCGGTTTAAAATGTATGCAAATGCGCGTGACGAGTCGGCACCGCCTCGCGATGGAATACATAAGTATACGAAGGGCGGAGAAAGAACAAGAGGACGACGAAGAATAAAAAGAAGAAGACGAAGAGGAGAAGGAGGAGGAGAAGGAAGAAGAAGAAGAAGAAGAAGAAGAGGCGGCGTGTGCGGAGCGGACATAACGCCGATGGCCACTGGAACGGCACGGTGGCAAGCTGCTGTTATCTCTTTCCCTCCAGCATCCGTTGCAGAAACGCACCGCTCGCGTCTGTGTGCGTGGTTTTACGCAACAACCGCTTGGAATGGCCGCCCCGTGCAAAAATTGCTCTCCTCTGTGGTGGTCGCGCGAACCTTTGCACTGGAAAGGAGGAAGAAGCGAGAGAGAGAGAGAGAGAGAGGA